CCGGGCCCGGGGCGGGGCGCTGCAGCCCGCGGAGCCTCCCGCCCGCCCGGGCTGGGGTCGCGCTGGCTCGGACTCCGCTCCCCGCCCGCCGCGGCCATGGAGGACGAGCGGAAGGACGGAGCCTACGGTAGGAGCCGCCTCCGGTCTGGGGCCGCCTCTGCTGAGCTGGGGGGGGGGACCTTGAGAGAGGGGGACATCTGAGACCTTAAACACCCTCGCTGCAGCTGGAGGGCCCCCGCCGCCCTCGGGCCTCCGCATCCAGCTCTGCGTGGAGGCCGCGCGCCCCGCTCCAGCCAGGTCTCCCCGCGTTCCCTCCCGGGAGCCCCAGCTCCCCTTCAGGCTGCGGGCCGGGGAGCACGGCGCATGCTCCGCCTGGGGAGGTCCCGTTATTTGGGCTGCTCAGATGGCGGGCGGGGGAGGGGAGGCGCGGCGATCCAGGCTCGGGAGAGGGACACGGCCCCGACCTCTTCAAATCCCCCTCCTCTCCCAGACCCCTTTGTCCTCTTCTTCCTCTTTGCCCACATCTCCCCAAGAAGTAGCCGATCAGAGCTTTTAGCCAGATGGGGAAACTGAGGCCAGACTGGGTAGACAGAATGCCAGGGTGGGAGCCCACCGCGTCGGGCCGGCCGCCTGGGAATGGCAGAAACAAGGGCGTCTCTGGTGAGACAGGAAGGAAGCCAGGAAGCAATTGAGAAACTTTCCCCGTCCTGTGCAAGGGGCTGGGGGTGCCGGTCCCCATTTCACCAGGTCCTGGCGACTGGGACTCCCTCCCGCGAACCTGTAAGGGCGGCCCCAGAGCAATGCCACTTGGCCCTGGGGATGGGGCCAGGATGCAGCCCCCTTGTGACCTGCTCCCTATGGAGCGTGCCTCCCGTGGGTTCCCACGGTTGGTGGGGGTGGGGAGCGTTTGCCGTCCTCAGTTTATCCTTCCTCTTCTCCATTTTGGGTTCCCAGGGCCCAACTCGATTCAAGCCCCAAGTGGCACTGTCCTGGGGCCAAGGGGCCCTGTCGCTCTCCTTTGGTGTGACAAGCACTTCCTGGAAACTGTGAGACTGAAGGGCCTTGGGGAGGGGGCCGGAAACAAGAAAAATAAAAACAAGTAGGCTAGAGCTGTGTCTCCCTCCCACTCAGGGACTGTGGCCTCAGGAGGTTGCAGAGAGAGACAGATGCGGGAGGCTGGGACTCTCCCTGCCCAGCTCACCCAAGAGGGCGGCGCCAGGACCTGGCCACCCGGCGCCCCCCCCCCCCCCCCGCACTTGGAGTTGCCAGCCCAGACCTCCAGAGGGGCCCCTTGGTCTGGGTTTTGGCTCATACTTAAGACGCTGTGGCTGCCGGGTGCTGTGCCTCTGTTGGGTGTGGCTGGCTGTCTCTGATCTGGGTCTCTCAGCCTGGAGTCCTGGCTAGGCCCTGCCTGCCTGTGGGCAGCACCTGAGAGATCTTTGGTCTCCATAAAGATAGGGCTGGTTGGGGGTGGGGGGCAGATTGGACAATGACGTGATTCACTGAGCCTTGAATTTGGCTGAAGAATGGGACCCAGCCGTGGATGGGACTGAGCAAAGCCTCCCAGGCCGCACGAAGACAGGGGACTTGACAGACTTTGTGCTGGTCTCTGGAAGTGCATTTGATCAGGAAATATTTATTGAGCACCTTACAGGTCTAGACACTGGGAACACAGCAGTGAATAAAGCAGAAAAGGCCTTGACCGCAGGGAGTGGATGTGGGAATAAATATGTAATTTTAGGTTGTTTTAAGTTGTAAAGCAAAGAACAGGATGTTGTGTGTGGGAGAATTTTAGGTTACTGAGGGTTATTTAATTTTAGGGATTATTTTAGGTTACTGAGGGTTAGAGGTTGAGCCAGCCATGGGAAGATTTGGGGGAAGTGTGTTCCAGACAGAATGAACAGCAAACAAACCACACAGTTGCTTAATTATTTCTCTCTATGAGACTGAGGGGAGCCTTCAGCCGGGTCCTTCAACTAGAATCTCACCTCCTCCAGAGGAGCCACCTGGCTTGACTGCTTGCAGTGGGGGTCTTGCCTAGCCTGTAAATACAGTAGCTACCCCTTTTTTGCAGTGTCCTTTTCTGTGGTTTCAGTTGCCTGAGGTCAAATGTGGTATGGAAATATTAAGGTATTTTGAGAGAAAGACGACACACACATAAGTTTTATTACAGAATATTGTTTTAATTTTATATTTTTATTGTTGTTAATCCTCACTGTGCCTAATTTATAAATTAAACTTTATCATAGGTGTGTATGTATAGAAAAAACTATAATGTGTGTAGGGTTTGGTACTATCTGCAATTTCAGGCATCCATTGGGGGGCTTGGAATGTAGCCCCCATGGATAATGGGGGACCACTGTAGTTCATTCTCACCGGAATAAAATACAAGGGGCCCTTGGGCTGCCCCATGAAGTCCCTGCCAGATAATGGGGAGCTTTCCCTTGGGAATGGTTCACAAGACTGGCTCATATACCCTCCCCTCCTACCCTAATGGCTGCCCATGAATTTAGGGGGTGACATCACGAAGAGGACTCAGGTTCAAATCCTGGCTCTGATGTTTACATGCTGTGTGGCTCCAGGTGAATCCGTGACCTTTCTGAAACTGCATCCTCATCTGTAGGGCTGGGCAGATGAGACTCACTGGTGGGAAGCATTTTGCATGGTTCCCAGCAAGCTCTTTGTGCTCAGGAGGCCTCTGGGGTAGGTGATACTGGTGACATGGGTTTTCCATGAGCTGGTGGAGAAGCAGCCCTCTCAGTCAAAGCATAGACTTGGGCTGGAGTGGGCAGGGCAGGAAGCTCCTTCCTCAGCAGAGACCTTATCTAGAGAAAGTCAGCAGCTCCCAGGGAAGTGGAGAAATGGCTCTGGCCCCAACGGATGTCAGCAATGGGAACTGCCTTCCTTCCCAGCCCACCCTTGGCTAGAGCAGCACAGAAAAAGATTCTAGAACCCAAAACAATAGACTGTGACCAAGGAGGACAAAAACTGGGGAAAAAAGTAGTGCTGCTCATTAAAAAAGTACATTCCTTGGCCCCGTTCACTAAATGGTTCAACCCAGCCTGCAACAGGCCTCTGGCATCTTATTTATTTATTTATTTATTTTATTTACTTATTTATTTTTTAAAAAGATGACCGGTAAGGGGATCTTAACCCTTGACTTGGTGTTGCCAGCACCGCGCTCACCCAGTGAGCGAACCGGCCATCCCTATATGGGATCCGAACCCGTGGCCTTGGTGTTATCAGCACCGCCCTCTCCCGAGTGAGCCACAGGCCGGCCCCCTCTGGCATCTTATTTAAAAAACAAAAACAAAAAAAAGTTGGGAAAGGGTATTTATTTGTTAAGTGTAACTTTTTTTTTTAGAAAAAGATAACATTTGCATGCTTCAAAATATAAAAGACATTATAGCTTTAATCATGAAAATCTCCCTCTTCAGAAGCTAAACCTTTCCCCACATGTGGTAGAATGTACTCTTCTGTATCTGCTCCTTGATGGAACATGTTCTCTGCTCAAAATAAAAGAAAATTTCCTTCTTGCTGTCCCCCAGGACCACATTCCATTCTGAGAGTCCATCAGTGTTACAACATCTTGTGTTTTCTTCTTTAGACCTTTACATGTAATTATATACATATTCCTATTTAATGACTATTTTTTTTCTTTTACTAAAATGGCAGCAAACCCCTGAATGCTAGCTTTATGATGGCAAGAATGTGTGTCTGTTTTGTATGAAGGTGTATCTGCAGTGCCTCACACATAGTAGGTGCTCAAGAAATATTTGTTGAATGAAAAAGTGTGTGTTTTGCATGTTGCTCTTTCTGTCTTTTCTTTTCTTTTCTTTCTTTCTTTCTTTGCTTAATATATATGGGACATGATCTCACGTCAGCACCTCCAAAGCTTTCTCAGTCTCTCTTGACAGTTATGTAAAGTGGTACATTTGTGGGTGGACCATCTTATATTTAACCAGTCGAGGGGAATATTTTAAACTTTTTATTGCAACAGGAAATTCATACATGAGAGGGCACAGGTCCTAAACATATCAGGTTCAGGGGGTTTTCACAAGGTCAGCACTTCATGTAACCAGCACCCAAATGAGGAATAAAGAATATTACAAGGAGCCCCCTTGTGCCCAAGGAAGCCCTATCAGTATGATTATTATTTTAGTAGTATATAAATGTTAAATTGAAGTATAATTTACATATTGACAAAATCACAGATTTTAGGAATACAGTTAGATAAATTTTGTCAAGTATATAGACCCATGTGACCACTAACCCCAAGCAAAATACAGAACAAGGATCAACACACTATAGCTTATTTTTATTTGCTCAAAAAAATTTTTTTTCATTGTGCTAAAAAGCACATAACACAAAAGTTATCATCTTAACTGTTTTTAAATGTACAGTCTTGTGTTGCTACTTATATAGAGATTGTTGTGCGGGGACTCTTTTTGTAAGACCAGTGGGCTAAGAATGGCTCTTATATTTTTAAATGGTTGTAAAAAGAAAAAAAGAAGAAGAAGAAGAAGAAGAAAAAGAGTATGTGATGGAAATTATATGTGAACCACAAAGCTTAAAATCTTTAGTATCTGGCCCTTCACAGAAAAAATTTGCAGACCCCTGGTAGAGAAGTTTCTCAAAACTTCTCCTGTATTGCTTCCTAGTCAATCCCAAAGAGAGTGTTATTTTTAAACATGATTTTATTTTATCTTAATCATTTATTTATTTTTTGGCTGCTGGCCAGTAAGGGGATCCAGACCCTTGATGCTGATGTTATAACACTGCGCTCTAACCAAGTGAGCTAACCAGTGAGCCTTAAATATGATTTTAATCTCTTATAAAATAAAATTAATATATTCTCTCTGTTTGGGTAGGGGGACTAAAAACTAAAAATAAGCCCTCAACCACATGGAAGATTTTAGCTTTCCATGTGAAAGAACCTTCTACAAACCCTTGGTCAGCTGTCCTCACCCAGAAATTACACAACTGAGAAGTCTCCTTCCAGAGCTTAGCCTACTAATTTCTGTGTTTGTATGTGGCATCTGTATCTTTTTAAAGCTTCTTGGTTTAATGAAAAAAAAAAAAAAATAGTACTCCCACAGTGTGATACTATGTAGCCTTGTAAAAAAA